ACTGGTGGGGTGTCATCTGGGTTACTGCTAGCTCTTATAGTATTAAGGTCGGGGTTTTCCTGGCTATTGTACAGATCTCTGTAAAACTCCGCTATTATAACTATCCTATTCATATTGGTAGTTATTTTGCCTTCTTTGCCCCTTAGTGCATACATTCTATCTCTGCCTATCCCAAGTTTGCTCTTCACTGCTTTGACGCTTCCTCCATTTTTCAGGGCATGGTCAATTCTCTCCATGTTATACCTTCTTACATCGGATACCTTATGCTTATTAATCAACTTTGAAAGCTCTGCCAGTTCTATTTTGCCTGTTGTACTTGAGACTCATGCTTTGATGCTTCTTAATGCACTGCACACTCCGTAATGATACTCATCAGATTATCATTCATTGCGCCAATGCTAAGGCTGGTTTCCTCGATAAGAGCTGAGTAACTGTTCTGAAGTGAGACTCTGAATTCTTCTACTTTCCCTCTCAGTGCTAGCTCATTGATTGGCTTCTTGTGTATCCACACCCTGTACGATGCTTGGCTGTGCACTCATTATAAAGTCTATTTCGTTCTTATTTTCGCTATTAGGGCTCCTCCATGTCCACTTACGGTTTCCTCGTTTTCGATAGAAGGTATTCAAAATCCATAAATTATTGCGTTCTGCGAATTCTACTAGTAGCTCTCCTCTGGCATTTCTAGTACCGATGCCATAATCTGTCACTGCCTGGTCTCCAGCCTGCTTCTTCCCTACTTTTGCATTCAAGTTTACGATCAGTATAGTATACTGCGTTTTTACCTTACTCATTGCCGATTCCACGTCTTCATAGAAGCTTTCAACTGAAGCGTCATCATGGCTGTATGTAGGTGCGTAAGCCTGTACCACCTTCAACTTGTATCTTTTGATCAGTTTAATTACGATACCTACCACCCTTTCATTAATGCTATAGTATTCCTCTATGTTGCCAGCTATGTTTCTGTGAATAAGGAACCCCACTCCCAGTTCTCTTCTGTCTGCCAAGCCCCGATAGCAAAGGACGTGCCCATTGTGTAGCACCGTATAGGCCTCATCTGTCCTCCTAACCTCACTGAGCCCTATTATATCCCATTTAACACCCTCTAGCTCCTCGAATGGTACAGCTAGACTTCCCTCACTAGATAAGGTTCTAGCGTTAAAGGTTGCCAAGTTCAGGTTCCCATGTAATACATTTAAAATGCTAACACTACAAGCAGAGACCTTCAATACTTTTACTGGTCATAAAGCTGTACCATAACTCTATGGGAAAGCCATGTGTGCTGTGGAGGCAGTGGGGCGTCGCTGGGGTCATAGGGCAGACAGGGGCCACATACCATGACATGTCAGCGCGCCCTTTTCATCTAATGTTAGTTGCTGTTTGCATTGTGCCTGAATATCGAAAAGGTTGCCACGTACATGGGTATGGTGGCTAGAGGGGAAGGTGGCACGAGCGGAACTGCGGTGACAGAGAGAAAGCTCTCCCTTGCTTCATGAAACACCCACGGAATCCCTGCAGCGCTACTGCAGGCAGTTCGATGCTCCCTGCGCTCACTCATGTGCTTTCTTTCGTGCTGTGCCGCGCATTGTCGTGTGTCTTTTGAGCGTTCTCTGCAGCGTTTTACAAGATTGCGCTGTTTGTCCGTGCAAGTTTTCGTGCTTTACTGTTAGCAACATGGACTCGGGCGTAAAGAAAGAGAAAACGACGCAGACACACTGCTTCGCACCCGGCTGTTTGTCCGGGTACGTCTTGTTGAGATCTGGCAAATGTGTCATTTTTCATGCCGAAAGAGCCTGAACCTTTAAAAACACGGCAGCGTGCAGTAACACGTTCAGATCAAGTTCTCGACGCAAGCTCAAGAATTTGCGAGCAGTATTTTAATAAGCAGTATTTTGTGCGATCATTAACGCACACTGCAGTCAAGGCCGAGGAAGAATTCCTCCTGAACAACCTGTGCTGACTAGCGATGCGATTCTGACGGTGTTCGCTAACCTCCCCCAGTATTTGTCGAAGAAGGAAAACTACTTCAAGAAAAAAATGGGTTCTCACTCAAGCAGTCGACAGACGAGACCTTTTGTACCCATCAGAGAAACTGAATGCGATTGTGGCAACACTTGATAACACATTTACAGGTGAACAGTGATAGCCTTATAGAGTCATTTCTTCAGCTCGCAAAGCTCACGCTTGTTGGGTGTACCAAGCGCTACGCAATTCTCACCAAAAACATAATATATAGGCTTCATTTCCTAATGAAGAGCTAGCATTTTTTGCAAAGTGAAAGGCAGAAGACAATGAAATTCTTGAAATTGAGATGTGTATTGTAATCGAGTGTAGCGTTTTCATTCTGAATTTCAGCACAAAATTCTTGCATCAGTTCCACAGCGTGATGATTGTGTTTATAGATTGTAGTGATACCCTGTAAAACAACTGGTCCGGGTTTCGACATCACTCGCTCCACATGCATCGTTTCAGCGTCCAAATAAATCTAATGAGTACTTGCTTTTTCTTCTTTTGCAAGATACATCACATTATTTATTTATTTATTTATTTATTTATTCAAAATACCTTACAGACCCAACAGGGCATTGTGTAAGGGGAGCATAAAAGGCATAGATACACGAATTGGTATAATTTCCATATAAACAATAACATAAACTAATTGTCAATTACTATACAAGTCCTAACAGGAATTACAATTCCTGTTAGGACTTGTTAAATTGTGTACTAGCAACAGCATTTCTATGCTGTTACTAGTGCACTATTTAAGGTAAAGTTACTGTGCTTTGCAATAAAACTGGGCTGATATTTTTTATTTTATTGTATGTTCTGTTTGCGACATATCCCAATATTCTCTTTTTTTATTGTTTTATGTTTCTAGATTTAAGTATGTTCTTGTAAATTAGTCTTGTGGGCAAAATAAAAATTTATCATTGAAGTCAGCGTGTAGCAAATAAAAGTGTTGTCGAGTTAACACGAGCACCGACAGTATATTTTTACATCTTAGCCCAGGTATATTTTTAGCAAATGCAGGTGCTAGCAACTTCAGTCGCACATCGCACACTAGGACGACAGGCTATCGGTTTCAAAAAGCAATCCCGCTTAGCCAAAAGCGAGTGCAGTGATATAAAGTGTTGTTACAGAGGCGCACCAAAACTTAAGTATCAGATACTTGAACCGCCTCAGTGTGGTTCAGAAAGTTTAGATGTATTAACGTACTCATACCAAAACAAGCAGCCAATAACGCGGCGTAGCGGCATTTTACTTTTACGGCGGACAGGCATTTTACTGTGAGCCGCAGCGACATCGCTACGTGTCATGAAACAGTGGATCGCCTTTCACGCCGTGCTCACGTCACCTCCCCATCTTGCCACCATATACATAAGTGTCGATACGATTGCAAGGCAAATGGATGCCTAGATGGGAAGCACGCTGTACTGCAACAATAAACTGGTGGTCAATTCCCCACACAATGCGTAAAGAAATTCAATCTTTCAAGCGGTCCAGTAGGAGTTATGAAAATGCCGTATGATGTTTTGAAACTTTTGCCGGACAATGAGTCGACAATTTTCTACGGCCTCCCAGTGTATTTGTGTAGCGCAAAATGGTCCAGGGCTCACGTGCCTACCAAGCGTTGCCGGGAACCCTCCGCTGAACTGGAGAATGTTAAGGCTGCATCGACACTGTGTATATGCAATGAAGGTGAGCGTATTGGCCGCCTTTTTTCCGTTGCATGCTAGTAATACAGACGCTCGATGAGTGAAACACTCGCCATTTTCTTATATGCAGGCACTTAGGTGGCCAACAGTGTAGATATGACATGCCAAACAGATGGAAATACACACAGTTCCTCACAGCTTCGAAAATTCAAAGCACACATCCGTTACTTGGAATAGAGACTTGAGCGCTACCATTTTAAGCTTGCTAGGGTGACAGCGCAAGGGACGATGCACCAAAAAACTCAACAAAACTGATGCAAGGTGTAAAAGCGTGAAAAGCTAATTTTTTATAACAATGCGTCATGATCGCGAAAAGATTAATTTTTTGCGCCACATGTTGGCACCGCTAACACGGGACACAGTCGGTCAATTTTCACATTTCAGGAGGCATGTAAGGATTTCGCCTTAATAGTAAGAAAAATAAGGAGAGACAAAAAAAACAGCATGAGTAGGCTACAGAGCAAAGTAATGGGCTGGGAAACTACCTATATTGCATGACCAACCGAACTTTGAATGCATTGCAGCACCGTAGTGATAAAATCAATGCAGAAAAAAACACAAAAACCATACAAATCCATATGAAGTATTGCTTGAGCCTCATCGCTTACTGAATTCAAAGTACTGATTTCTTCAAATAGGCTGTTGGTTCGATACACACGAGGCCATTTTAGTATATATATCTTCATATAGAAACACCGAGTGTATATGTAGCCTGAAATATTGGATATGCGCTGTCAAGAGTTGCAACCACTATACTTCCGCGATGCATCAAGATCCAGTTCAAGTACTCTAGATGGTCCACAAATTTTCACTACATGCTTCAGGAAGGAAAGAAGCATGCTTTTTTAGCAGTAGCATATCTTACAGTGGAAGCAGGTTGCGTTGGTTGCTATCGAATTTCTAGCTTCAAGGCCACATTTTACGCTTAATTTCATTGTATTAGAGCTTCCCTGAATTTCCTTCAAACATCACTCCGAAAATATAATCAACCTTCACAAGTACATTTAATCACGTTTCACAGTTGCAGCACGTGCTGTACATTTGCAGTGCCAGGACCACTCTAATAACCGCACTCCTAGCAGGGCACTCCTAGCTGTTGCTCCTGTCCCTATATCAAACTTTTGCCGAAGCTTCATAAGCAGTAAAAGTATTGAAGGACTCTGCTACAAGTTTGAGGTATGATGACATGTCCAGTGCCCAAAGTAAAGCTATGCTATGCATAGCCATTTTGACAAAAACGTGAACTCAAACAGAACGAGGACCCAGGCATGCAGTGAGTATACATACCTCTTTTGCAAGAACCTTTTGCATGATTCGAACCTCATCAGAATCCACTCCTCGTGCAGGGCCTTGAGTCCTGTCAAAGAAAGCAATGGGGAAAAAAATGAAAAAAATTACACCATCTTGCGCTAAAGGGAACGATGTGTAGATGCGAAGCAGCGGGCGCTAAGATTACACTGGTGGCGATGATGACACTGGCCCCCATCGTGGCGTTGAGCAGGAGAGAAACCTGGCGAGGGGCGAAGCAGGAAGTGATAGAGAGAGAAATAAACGTTTATTTAGAAAACAGTGTTCCGAGCGAGGCCCGCCATGACCCTAAGGGGGGAGGGTTCCCTAGTCCAGGAACCCTCTGGCTTCGACTGCCCTCTTGGCCCTGGCAACGAGTTGTCGCTGGTCTTCCAAGTCCTCCAGGACGAGCTTGGCCTCCCACGTTTCCATTAGGTGGTCGTCGTTTATTCTTGGGGCTTGGTCCCGCTCCAGTTGCACGTCGTGGTTCGCATGGCACTGGCATTCCAGGAGCAAGTCTGCCAAGGTATCTGGTATGCTGCAGAGCGGGCACATGTAGCCATGTGTCGTAGGGTAGAGGCGGTGCATTAATATGCCATGTATGTAAAAGTTGCTTTGTAGGCGTCTGAAAATCACGCTCTCTTTTTTGGTTAGTCTTGGATGGGGTGCAGGGTACACCCATCGCTCCATTTTGTACTGTTGAAGTAGCAACGAGTAGGTGTTTTCTACTAACTCCATCTCTGCAGCCACGAATCGGGTATCTTTTGGTCCCAGGGCAGCACGGCTGACATGCTCACGAGCAGCAGCGTAGGCCGCTTAATTTCCCTGTAGACCCTCGTGTCCAGGAACCCAGATTACGCAGGTATATGGAAGTGGAGAGCTTCGCCATTGCAGGATGTTAATTGCTTCGGCTGAGATGCGGCCCTTCACATAATTCCGGCGAGCGGCTTGCGAGTCAATGAAAATCACCGCGGCCTCTTTACATGTGGTGGTGGCGAGAGCGATTGCCGCTTCTTCCGCTGCGTCTGAGTTGCATGCCTTGACTGTGGCCGACGCTAACTCTCGGCCTTGCGAGTCGACGGCGCTGATAGGATGCGCCTTTCTACGAGGGTACTTGGCCACGTCGGTATAGCGGCCGTTCGGGTCTTGCCAGAACTTTCGTTGAAAAGCTTCTGCTCTAGCCTTTCGTCTACCTTTGTGGAATGTGCATGCATGTTGCGTGGGATTAGCGCGACTGACAGGGACTCTCGAACGTCCACCGGGATGCGCGTTTTATGGTCTGCATAGACCGGTGTTTTCTACTGGAACATGCCAATCGCTCTTAATTGGCAGTGAGAGACAGAAGACTCCGATTGGACACAGAGACCTGCAATCCACCTTTAGTTAATGTACACGCTGCAAATTTTGATTGTTCAACAACGCACAGGAAAAATCTCCCACAGGCACTGCCTTGGAGGTCATGATCCAGTTCTTATATATACGAGGTGGCCAATGAATGGTTGTGCAGCATGAGCAGTCGTCTTTTTTTTTTTTTTTTTCCAACCAAAAACTCGCTAGCAGACGCTGCCCGAGTCGGCGTTGTGGGGCGAGAGAGGGGGAGAAGCATATGAGGAGGAGAGAGGAAGAGGGAACATGCATGTGCGATGGGTGTGTAAATGCATAAAAGAGAGAGAAAGAGAGAGAAAGAAAACGGGAAACATAAGTAAATTGCAAAGAGGCTAACTACAGCACACTATCTCAGTCTGCTGATTTGTTGTCCCATGACGACAGATGGCATAGCCACCTGTTTCGCCACATTGAGGTCTTTGATTGGTAGAAAAAAAAAAATTATTTCCAGATGTCCTGCATGGCACACTTTATTATTATTTTTCGGTAACACCTCGAGTTGAGGTGCAGCTAGTCACCCTGTTTGAGAATGTGCTAACCAAAGCACTTGAAAACTGAAGCAGCCGTGCACTTCACATGGGCAATGAGGGCTTCTGGAGCCAGCTCTGCATGCCGTCCCATCATTGCCCCTAATACGAGTGATGGCCCACAGATCACAAAAATGCTACCACAATGATACTATATAACAACATGAACATAAACATTCCGCAACTCCTAATATTGCCATTCAAAAAAACAGCTGTGGCTGATTTTCCACATGTTATTGATACAACAGCGCACATTCCGATGCAACAGTGCACGTGAATTCAATTGGTCCGTGGGGCAGCAGTGAAAGATGGGATAGTCGGTGTTGCATAATAAAAAGAAAATAACAGCGATAAAACAACGAGGACAAAGAAGGAATGATGTTGTGAGCGGCAACAGTGAACAACATAGGGCCTGTTGGTATTGCAGAACAAAAGAAAAAACAGTGCTTAAAAAGACCGGGAGACGTAAAGAATGACACACTATGCACATGTGTCATTTACATGTTCTCGTCATTTAGGCATCATTTTTCCTGAAATCGCAAGATTAACGTTGCGATACGTTTGAGCCATTTGCAATTGGTTGAAAGCCTTGAACCACCCACTCTTAATGTAAGTTGCATATTGTGACACATGCGATTCTATGCTCGTACCCACGTAATATCAAGTCTTGCTACATGACCTCTCACCTCACATGATGCCTATACTAGGTGAAATTCATACTAGCTTGAAGATTTTGTTTCTTTTTGTCATTGTGGGTGATAGCTACAAAATGCATTGGCAGCCACAAACAACAGTGCAATCAAAAATAGCAGTAGTGGTGAGCTCATAACAGCTCACACTTTAACAAATGCGAGTAGATAATAGATGCCGTATAATGTTGAGTAAGGGCTACCCCCCCCCCCCCCCCTTCTTTAGACTACATAATTGAGAAGAGATTTGATTGATGCGTGGGGTTTAACATCCCAAAACCACCATATGGTTATGAGAGATGCCGTAGTGGAGGGCTCCGGAAATTTCGACCGCTTGGGTTTTTTTTACGTGCACTCAAATCTGAGCAAACGGGCCTACAACATTTCCGCCTCCATCAGAAATGCAGCCATAATTGAGAAGAGAATCATTCATGATCCAGCACTCTCCTTTTCAAAGTGCCTACAATGTTTCCAGCAAAAGTGCCCCTTGAGCACCTTCAGTGCTATTATTTTCACAGCCATTTATTTATAACCAATGAAGATATGTGCTTACACACCAAGCGAGTGACCACTTTTGGCAATATTATCACGACATTGTTGCCAGATCAGTTGTCTTTGGTACGCAGACAGCCTAACACCTCGCAAAAGTACCTCCAAAAAAGCGATCGTGCATTCCTTGCTCAGCTCCACAAGAAACAAAGGCGACATGATCAAAATTCGACCACAGGAAGTGTGAAAGCACCTCCGACAATGATGGCAAGAAAGACAGATCACTTTACTTCTGCTCGTTTCTGAAACAATACAGGCACCATTTTCTAACCTTAAAGATCTCGGAGCCTATGCTTTTCATTTCAGGAATCTGAAAAACACCATTGGTGTGCTGAGCTCTCACGAGTACTATCAAGCCAGAAAAAGAGGGGGGAATCAACAAAATTCAGCAGAGCTATCATTATGTGAGAGCAGGGGTGAAACAGGGTACATGGTGTTAGGGTAGAAGTCCTGGGAGCAGGCAAAAGTGCTTTTTGTAGCAGGCTTGGAGTAGACAGAAAGATGTTTTGGAGCAGGCTTGGAGCAGCCAGAAGGACCTTTTCAAGCAGGTTTAGAGCAGTGAGAACATCCAGAGCACATGTAGTCCCATTAGAGAACACTTGTGAAGCAACATTTCTTTAATGTTGCATTTTTCAAACACTCAACCAAATTGTGCAATAACCTCACTATTGCGACAGAAATTATCAGGGCACTTCCAACGAGTTCTCGCCATTGCCGTCATGCCCCACGTAAATTCCAAACTGATAACATACCCGGCGCATTGTATGTTTATCCATGAGTAAAAGCGCATAGGCGGGGGCAACGAACGCGGTTCGAGCAGAGATGAAACGATCCGGCTTATCTCCGCCGCACAGAGGGCACGTGCTTCAACCAACAAATATGAACTTCGCTTCTAAGGATGTAATCACAATCGCTGGCACACATGCTAGCTCAGCAGCCATCAGCAGGCGACTTGCATACACTTCTACGTTCTGCACTGTCATCACGAAGAGATTGTGCAAAAAGTGCGGCTCTCGTTGAAGTGGCTGTATTCTCCTACACCAACGTTTTGTACAGTTACGCGAGATTACCCCGCCACGGTGGTCTAGTGGCTAAGACACTGGGCTGCTGACCCACAAGTCGCGCGATCGAATCCCGGCTGCAGCAGCTGCATTTTCAATGGAGGCGAAAGTGCTGTAAGGCCCGTGTGCTCAGATTTGGGTGCACGTTAAAGACCCCAGGGGGTTGAAATTTCCGGAACCCTACGGCGTCTCTCATAATCATATGGTGGTTCTGGGACGTTACACCCCACATATTATTATCATTAGTTACACGAGATCGGATCCAAAAAATTGGCTGCCAGCCTTACTTTGTATAGCATTACAATTTGCAGCTATCACATTCATTTCTTCACCCTTGCAGTCCAACTGTGACTTTTTTAGTCAAGTCTTTTTTTTTTTATACATGAATGCACGAGCGTACCCCCAGTCAATAAGCGCGAAGCACAGCGGCCATATGAACGAGAATATGCGCATATGCTCGATGATTAGTCATTTGCACCAGTCTTTTCTTGGCTGTTCTGCAAATCAAACACCACTCCCCTTCTTTTGAGCCCTGTTACTGCCATTTTATTTTGCGGACGCTGCCAGGGTATTATGAAAATCAGTTTCACTGGAGTGGCGAAGCAATGAATGCAATATCAACAAGTTGTAAGGCTCTTAGGCAACCCCTTTAGATTTGATATGGTATAAATCTACAAAACGCTGGTGTAAGAATACAGCTGTGCCAGGGAGAGAGGCTCTTCTTGCAGTCTCTTCGCGTTAAGAGCGCAGCACACAAAATGGTTCATGAGCTATTCGCGCTGATGCCTGCTGTGATCGCGCGTGCATAGCAATCACAACCATGCCGTTAGGATCAAACAAGGAGGTTTAGAGGTTCGAAATTCATGGCTGCCCCTGGAGCCATCACAGCCTTTACAAAACTGAAACTATAACCGTTTCGATAAAACCAATATACAATGTTTAAGCCACGTTTCCAGGCACGGTGCTTGATGGTTTTCGCACTCTGTGGCTAAAGTCTGGTGCTGCAGCGCATTACGGCGCTGATAGGCGAGTTTCGCACAGCAGAGTGGTTTTTCGCAGGATGGCGCACGTAAGCAAGTTTGGTACAAAATTGCACAATGGCACACCTGTTCGACCCCTGTAAGTGTAATCATTACATGATGAATCAATAATATTTTTAAATATTAAAAATGAACAAAAAAGATTCATGTATGGGCTAAAGAAAATCCCACTGCTAACTTTCTTTCTCTGAAGCGCTGCCCTTGCACAAGTTTACTTAGTATATGAAGTGGGTGCTCCATGGTGACACACAAATTTTCAAATCCAACCTTTTTGCATTGGGCCTGTCCATGGCGAACTCGAGGAGATCTTCACAACTGACATGGTCACTGTTCTTGTAGATGGTTGGTAGCGATGGAGCATCAGTTGCGAGATGGTCTAAGCTGTCAATCCCTTCCTGGATCTGGTTCTCAAATGACTCATCGGGGTTACTGAAAAGAAAGAAATACCTAAATGCGTCCTATAGTATTATGTAGTACAGCATGTTATGAACACCAGTTAATTATGTAAAGAGAAGCAATGACTTTTTCTTTTTATTTTTTTTTCACCTACTAATTTGCATAGAAATGTTCTGCTTGATATTCCCTGTTGAGTGGGAAGGCTGCTCTTCAGAACTTCTCAAAATTCTCGATAGATTTAGATTAAACTTGCTCAGTTTGTGTATATTTTTATGTCGATTTCAAGTGTGCAATTATTATTCTTTTACATACATCTAGTTTCTAAAATATTAAACATTTCACATGCCTTTTGGGAGAAATATACTGGCTAAACTGGACCAACGCCTCCTCTAGAAAGATGCCTGCAACTTGAGCGGAAAAGCTGGTTTCCGGTCCTCTCCTGTTCTCTCCTCTTCTGGTGCCCAAACAGAGTCGGCGTCAAGCACTTGCTGCGACAGCCGTTTTTAAACCTTGCAGCCTCAGTGATTAAATCCATGTCTACTGCCGTCTCGGAGGCAACACGGTCGTGTCTTTGTGAAGGCGTCACTTCCGAATTGAGCGAAAGTAGTAGTGTTGGCTCCGAGCACTCCTTGCAGAAGGCACTGAACTACGTGGAACATCCCATTCCCATGAGAAAGCGTGCGATGTCGCAGGCACATTTCTAGAGGAGGTGTTGACTGGACGGTCCACAAAGTATATCAGAATTAGTGAGAAAGAACAAACAGTGATGCCAAGGAATGTACGTTATTAGTAGTAATTGTAATGGAAATGTGAAAAAAAAAAAAAGGTGGACGAAAAGATAACTTGCCAGCCCACGGCAAGTTATCTTTTCGCGCACTTTTCTATATTCACATTTACATTACAGTTACTACTACTAATAACGTCCTCTATACATTCCTTGGTATCACTGTATGTTTTTTCTTATTATTATTGTGTCTAACAGACAAAAAAGAAAAAACGAGCCCTTAAGTTTACATTTCTTTCCACCAAAGTATATCAACATAGTAGAATATTCTGCAATGTAAAATGTATGCAGTAAAATAAGAATTGATGTTTAAGCAGAACTTGAACCAAAGTTTGAAACATTTGAAAGTGATTCCACATCGACCTCGGTGCTCCCTAATGTTTAACATATAACTTTTGTTCAAATTTATTCAGAACATCCATTTGTGCTTAGAACACCTACTTCGTAATTCTAGGAGGTTAGAAAAAATCTTTGAAAGGGGCACATGAAATGTTTGATATTTTAAATAATATGAAATATTTGAAACCAGCACATAAATATGCCAAAACTAAGCAAGTTTTAACAAAGAATTGAAGCAGTAAGGGCGAATATTTCTGCTTTCTTGCAGGCAAGGACTGACCTGGATGTTCGCACTGGCTTTGTTGGGGGACAGCGTGGCTCAGCTATGCTTTTCTTTGCTTCAACAGCTGCTATCCGTTCATTTACAGAGGCCTGCCTCACTGGTGCAGGAGGCGACTCGCTACTGGAGTCCTTACACGCAGTCTCTGCGGCCACGCTGCCGGGAAGCAAGAGTAGCGGATGCTTCCTTTGGTGATGTTTGAGCACTTGTGCAGGCTTTGTGCGGTCTCTCGGCGGCAAAGGCAGAGGATTCGCTTCGGCCTCTGCTTGCTGCTGCAAGGGCGGTGGCGGTGGAGCTCCAAGCCCATTTCTCGGTGCACTGCCTGAGCTGACCGCATTGGCAGCCAAGCGTGCAAGCGCAGCCGTGTGTGGAGTGGTGGGCCTGCAACTGCTGGGGATGCCGTGACGATTGCCTCTGACACGAGGCTGAATTTGGATGCCACTCCTAATTCGTCTCAGTGGGTTGACGTCGGCTCCTGCATCCAGGGGTTCAATGCCCGTCACAGGTGCGGGCGTCAGTGTCGGCTCGACCACCACTAGTTTTTCTGGCCCCTTGTCAACGAGACTATTGTATGCTTCTTTGGCCTCCTCAGTGAGGGAGTCCTGTATATCGGGAATGGCCTCTGCTTCCTCTGAGAAAGTGCGCCTCCCCAATTTAGGGCTTGACTTGAACTTGAAAGAAAACTTTCGTTTGTTTGGTGAACTGGGGGTGCGTGGGCTGTCCTGGGTGGCATCAGACTCCGAACGACCATCCATCTCCTGCATACTCTGTGCAGCAGCTTCCTTGGCTATTGCAATAGCCGTTTCAAGCGTCTGTTCCTCAGCAGCCGAAATAGGTTTGACTGTTGCAAGCTGCTTCTTCTTGAAAGTGCTGCCCGCAGAGGAAGGTTTGGGTGTCTCCTTTGGAGGCTCACTTTTAGCAAAGCAGTCATCTTTGGGCACTTTGTCCAAGTCAAAGTTGAGTTGAGTTGTCTCAAGAGCTCGAAACACTTCGTCCATCAAAGAGGGGCCCAAGTCCAGAGTCTGCAAGAGTAAGTTAATTATAGATATGCCCTATGTACTGCCTGAAAGTACATACCATGCATCCTGCTAGCAATATGTAGTGCAGCACTAACATAGCAAATTTAACTGAGGTATTCATAGAAAGTCAAGTAACTCTCAACAAGCAAAATATCAAATTTTGTTTCATAAGTAAGATTAATAAGAAACCCTGTAGTTCAAACACACAGGGCACACATCGATGGCTCAATCAGCAATTATTAGAAAATGTAACTCAATAAATTTAACAAATTATGGCCACTCAAAAGGCTCGAAAAGTAAAGTTCTTGAATATGAATATGCAAGAAACATGAATATGCAAGCAGAGCAATCGATTTAGTATACGCTGTTTAGTTACTGCATACAAAATACAACTATTTTTTTTCTTTTTAGGCAAGCAACTTTAGAACCACTAAAAAACACTTACTTCAAACTTCGGACTCTCAGTAGCATCCACTTGTTCCTCATCACTTATTTCATGATATTCATGATCAGATTTCTGGCCTTCCTTTCCCGACATGCTCTTTACATCAAGTGGATTAGAAAGTTTCAAATCCAGGGGCTTGGCACAGATTTCTTTTTCAAGGATGTACTCCTTTGCCAGATCCTTCTCACTACTGGTATCTGACCAAGTTTCTGCAAAGCATACATGTTGACAAATCTTTTGTCTAGGGTTTGAATGCACATGAGAACATTTGAAAGAACAAAAAAAAGGAACAACTATAAAAGAAAAGGCTGTCATGCCATTTTTCTGCTAGATTCATGTACTTCATTAAAATTGATGATATAGGTACAATCTCTCATAAAATGAAAAAAAAAAAAAAACCTTTTGGAGGAAATGCTTTTACTTTGTAGACCAAAAGAATTCAGTTGAGATATGTGTAAGTCGACAAGTTCCAGGTTTATGAATTTGTTTTTAGGCTTTCATAAACAAGCCAACAACTTAAAAAGCCGGAGTATCGTTGAACGAAACTAGGTTCACTGAAATTTACAAAAACAAGAAAGCCACGCTCAAGAAGTAACTTATCTTAAAGCCTTTCAGACAAAAAACACATTGACGCACCCAATGCAGGACCGCTTTTGCCATCAACAGTCGAGCTTGAACCGTTTAGGAGAGGTGTCATATCTGAAGAGTCTGAGGAGTCCTTATCTTCTTGAGGCTTATCTGCAAATGCCATAAAAGATTGTAGAGGTGTCTTGTTTCCTGTGTCTCTAAAGGAAAGCAGCAGCGGGTTCATTTTGTAAACTTCTTTTAAGGACGCCTATGTCAAACAATGAATGACTGATAATTTTTTATTTAACTCTACAGTCATTAATTTCACAGTAGTCAATTGGTTAATAGAAAAGAAAATTAAAGTCATAGTTTCATCTCTAAGCACTACTACAAGTTGACCTGGTTGCGATAACTTATTCTTCATTATTTTTGAACACGAAAGCACAGAGATGCACAAGCACTTTTCCTTGAGCAGCTCTCCTATCTTCCTCTGTTACTGCGAGTAAAAATCGTAGCAAAAATTCATTTTTGAATTTCATAGAAATATCTCTGCCCGTGGATGCCAGAAAGATATCAAAAATTTTAAAGTGTCCCCCTCCCCCTTTTTTATTTTGTACATGTTGGCTCAACAGAATTTCCTCACACTTGGCATGTCAAGTCTCTAGCCCTCTTTATATACAACATACTTCAAATTTACTTAATGAATACTTTTAGGTCAGGACATATGCTGTTAAAGCCTGTGATGTCACAACAAATAGGTGCAAAAACTTCAAGGTCGTGTCACCACCTGTGCTTCCTTCTTGTATGTTTTCTTGGTTACCAGATGTTGTCTCACAGCTAGAGTGGTTGTTTTGGTGTTGTGAAAGGGTTGTAGTATACCAATAAAAGAAACTTTGTCATTTTAAAGTTCAAATCTGCAAATTAAAATAGGCAACATGCATCAACTTCTACTTCACATGTGACACTAAGCTTAATTATAAGTGGGCTTTTACATGCCAAAACTATGATATACTATAGCTACTAGCCACGCCTAGTGAAGGGCCCCAATAATTTCAATCAGCTGGTGTTCTTTAACATTCGACGAAATTTAAGCACATAGGCCTCTAGCATTTCGCCACCATCGAAATGTGATGCCTGCGGCCATGATATAAGCCGTGTCCTTCTGATCAGGCACTAAGCTCGACAATAGCTCTAGTCTGATGCAACTATAGGAGTACGAGGTATTTCTTCCTCAAAGGCAGATGCATGCAAGCCTGCACAAATGGGCACACAGCACCAGAGACTGTTGCTGCAAGCCTGACGACTGGTGACGTTGCCTACAGAGAACACTGCCAAGTGCACGAGCAGGAATAATTCTTTGGTTGGCAGAGGTGATCGGCTGACACGCTTTGATCATCCGGTAAGGGCCACCACGGACTTCTCAAATAGCAGCATATGCCAACATGCCTTCCTTGTTACTATGCAAGGTAACCAAAAGATATTACACTAAGAGGGCCACCACTGGCCTGTCACTAATTTATCTAGGTAGTGTTTGCAGAGGATGGCTTTGAGAGAAACGGGAGACGAGCGTAGCAAGACAAACACACTTTATACCCTGAATGAACAAAACCAATACACAGAATTCGCAATCACTCAGTAATTCAATAACACTCAATAACAATCCACATACACGATCAAACACAACCTGACCGTAGCTCAGTCCCATATTATTATTAGTCCTAAACGCTAGCCCTAAGCCAATATGGCGTCAACAACAGAATGTTCTTACAGCTCGTCATGTTGCAATTCATTGCCCTTTGCTGTATCGACGCTTCGTCGAGTCCTGCGTCTTTGATGGGCTGCTCCACTTTTTACGGTCGCCGTCGGTTGATCCCACCACACGAACCACTCTTCCTCATTGCCAGTGTCCCGATCCTCCTCTCAATCTTCGGCCTCGCCAGGCTTAGCTCATCATGGACTTCTCTGCTAACGTGTCTACTCTGCTGACTGGTGTGGGCTGCTATCGTCCTGGCGCAATGTGGGATAGCTGCACCTCTACCAAGAACTGCTGGGCAAGGGTGCGGCAAGTCCAGGAAGCTTCACTCGAGACCTCCGAGGTCGACGTCCACTTCCCCGGCCCTTTTCACGCCGATAACCTTCAGGACCAGGCGGTCATGCTGCTCCCGTCACCATAGCGACACTTGTTTCCCACATCTTCGTAGCTAGGAGCCCCAACGCACAGTGCCAGCTCATCCTCTCGGATTTTTCATCATGGCTCGGGTCATGTGCCACGAGCCCTTTTCCGACCAATCTCCTGCTTCGACATGGCTTGTACACGTGCCCTCGGGTGACCTTTTTTCGTCTAGTGCGATGTCGCCGTGATTCCTCGTTCGGCACGAGCCTTGTGTCTCTTACTCATGACATGGCCCCACAAAGCCATGCTTACACCTGATGCTCAGCAAGAAATGTGCAAAGATGCAGAATAGGCTGACACACAATGCATCTTTAGCATGCACGAATAAAAAAATAGGTCCACTCACAGGGATTCACAACTTGCTTCGGGAGCTGTCCATACTTATCGCCGAGAAAACCTACATCTCCAAAAAATGCTCCATCAAGGCCTATGTGACCGGTATGCTTCAAGTCACCCTACAGGTAGAAAAAAAAATTGTTTCAAAAGAAGAGTTGTTACATGAAATGAATTTCGTTGACCCGAGAAAAGAACAAAAACTTAAGCCCAAGAACTCGCTTACACACGAAAGCATATTGATGAAAACGGTAATGACTATCACTAGTCTTACATTGAAACTAAATTTCGCATTTTGTCAATATACAGGCAGCCACGGCAATCAAGACTTTCACAGGTCTGTATCAAACTAAAGACCTGTGGAGCCACAAAAGAAACCAAGAATGTAAAGAACGCGACTACTACAACTCACCCATGCAGCGGTTATTGAAAGGTCACAAACAATTCGTCTCTATTGATAACATCTGTTCATACAGAACTCCAGTTGTTTCCAGTGTACTTTGTCCACTGTTGCTCCTAATATACACTGACGGCCCTGTACGTCACATTTTGTGGAAAATTTCTTTGTTTGCAAATGACAGCATCGTTTATCACCACCTTACAGTGACAATGACATCGACATCTGCAGGTAGCCTTTTGCAGGCAGCCTTTCGGGTGAAAGGCTATTAACTATGCTGCTCCCATGATTGGGGATGCGATCCCTGAAACTAAGTTCACTTCTGCTGGAGTGTCAATCATATAGATACCGAAGCTACCGAAGCCAATAAATATTTTTACACTTCTAGCATGCGAACTTGCTCACCGTGCCGGGCAGCCTGCGAGACCTTCGGACTCCAACCTAATGGTCTTTAGGGATGTTCTCACTTTTAAAGAGGTGATCAAACATTATCAGCTGGACAGAAGAATCTTCCCCCTTCCTCATATGCAACTTTGTAGGGCCCAGGCATCTACCCTCTGCATGCTTCAAACCAGGTCGTACCACAGTCTTCGTTCCCACAGCCAGTTTATTGAAAGTATTGATCCAACATGCCCAGATTGTGGCGCCGTATCTACGTTAGACCACATGCTCTCACAGCTCCACATCTCCGTATCTACGTTAGACCACATACTCTGGCAGTGCTCATCATCACGCTATTCTCGGCACATGACCAAAGGAGAATGTAGCTTTGCGCTCAGGAGCTCAGAACTTGCACATCAACTCTGGGCTGTCCAGAGGGCCTATGACGCGACGGTGAGGCTTGGCCTACCCTTTCCGACGTGGGAGCGGCCCGCTGCTCTACCTCCTTGAGGTAGTGTTCCTCAGGACCTCAATAAAGTTCTGTGTCTGTCTGTCAGACTGGCAAGAAATTTCTTCTGCAATACCTAATCATCTCTAAAACAGAGAAATACTAGAGTAACATAGTAATGCATTCATGACGAAAATCCCAGCCTGACATAGACCCATCTACGAATGTTTAAAATACCATTACTTTCAATCAAATAGGCCTGAATCATCCATTCTTTTTCAGTGCATACAATCCTCATTCCATATTCTATTGATAAGGTAATTCATGGTTCTTTAAGCTTAGGAAAACTCTTACACCCAAATAATACATGAAATGTTTGACATTTGAAAAACTATACATTGTGCTGGAAAAATAACTGGATATTCGAAATCTGCACACAAATATATATACCCCAGCTAATTTCAACAATACTAATCAAGAATTAAAGGAAAATTTAAAGACCAGTGGCTTCCCTTAAAACAATGACACACTGATACAAAATACGTTAATATTTTGTGCCAGTGCATTGTTTGTTACAGTAAGTTTCTTGTAACAAGGCTCCTTAGTAAACCAGCATGAAACCAAGCAAATTAAAAAAAACAAGCATAGCGAACAAACCTGAGGTCCTGAAATCATCTCTGGCCGCAGTCGACTGCGGCGACCACTGGCATAGGCCGTACCAGCGCCTGAACGAGGATCAAACCGAGTGAAACTGCCGCTGGCTCGACTTGAAGGCAGATTGTGGCCAAGATATGCAATCGTAGCAGCCGGATTAAAGAGACCAGTCTTTCCTGCAGCTGTGACACCTTTCCACAATGACCATGCATCAGGCCTGCACAACACAAGCACAGCTTGGCCAAGTTGTTCTCGAAACAGTAAATTGGTTATACGCATTGAATTTCTGCACACAACATGTGCTTCCAATCATATAACTGTGCGATGCAAACCTGTGCCAACATCAATGAAAGACTAAGTATTCCTGTGCTGTTCTCCAAGTAAGCCTATACTACTGAAGAAGGCAGAAGTTCAAGGCAAAGCGAAAGCTCGAAGATTTGAGAAATTTTTGCACATGCAGTTTCGCTGATGAGACCGCTTCTCCAAACAAAAGCTTCAGTGACAGTCTCTGTTTAAGATTATTCTTTTGTAGTATTACTGAAAGACACATATTCAGCACTTTCTGAGGAATCAAGTTGGATGTCCCCCCTCTGCCCGTTCATTCGTTCAAACAAAGCAGTGCTAACCTAGGAGGCCACATATTTTATGCCTATCGCAGGACAAAGGCCACTCCCAGTAATATCTAGTTTATCCTGCTTTTCACAGGCCATTTTATTCTTGTGAATCTTTCAATTTCACAATTTCACCTAATTTACTGTTATCCTTCGCTGAGTTTACCATTTCCTCATTATTCCAAGAAAATAAAGTCGGGCAAAGATACCTTTAAACTGTACCTTGACACAATACAAGATATTCAGGTAACAAATGCAGTAGACTCTCATTGAACAAAACCTGAAGAGATTGCGAGAATGTGCTCCATTTTAGAACACTAAAGGCAAATATTGAATCAATGTTGATTGCTGAAATAGCAGTCCAGAAACCTCGTATTGCTGGTTTTTGTGTAAAGAAAGTGCTTATTTTGAAATAAAAGCACGTGTTATTTGTCCGCATCATGTTAGTGCACTTCAAATCACCCACACCTGAAAGCAGCCTCAATAAAACTTGTTGCTGGGCTAGTTGGTTATCATATCATGACATAATTAGCACAACCTTGACTCTCTCAAACACTTACTAATCGACCCGAGTAACATACAAAACACTCAGCGATAAGTGTCATGTGTGTTACTCGGGTGGATGTGTGAGTGTTTGTGCGAGTGTTTGTGAAAGTCAGGGTTGGCTAATTATCTTACAGTATGAAAGCAGTCTTTCAGACCTCAGTGTTACTGTGCCCAACGATGCCCGCCTTTACTAAGCGGCCACTGACAGCAGTAGAAGCAGAGTGAAAGTGCAGAAGCCACTGTAGCAACAATGGCCACTGAACATTTTGCTGCAATCTCGGAGGCCATGATTCTGCTTGCTTAGATCAACTGAGCCCCACTAAATGGCACCACCTAACCAGCTTAATCAGGCCAAAACGAAATTTTTGAACCACTCGTGCCATTTCCCATAGTAACGCCAGGCGGTTCTCTTTTTCTATAACTCAAACAGAAACAGGCAAGCAGCATTTTATTACATCTCTTGATGCACGGAAGGTTCTTTTTTTTTATTGCAGCTGGTTTGATTACTAGTTATTAATTGTAGGCGGACACTCATGTCATTGGGATTATTTTGCAAATGCCTCAGTAACGTATGCTGACGGGCTCGGTGTGTAGCTGTGTAAATACATCGTTGGCGCAAACTTGAAAGAAGATACACGGAAAAGCGCACACTCGCGACTAAGGTTTATTGAACAGAAGCTCATCTTATAAAACCTTCACGCACAACCACAACCACATGAAAAGCCCAACTAACTATAATCACAACTTATCAGATAGAAAAGCAAATTCATCATCATACAACCACATGAAAAGCCCAACTAACTATAATCACAACTTATCAGATAGAAAAGCAAATTCATTATCATACAATGACAAGGACGGAACACTGATACATTGTTCGCCAAATTGCCTAATATACATCGCTTCTGCCAAATCACATGCCACTTTGTTCACGTGCCATCTTGCCAAGAAGCAAAGGTGAATTGGCAGAAGCGATGTATAGTAGGCAATTTGGCAAACAATGTATCAGTGTTCCGTCCTTGTCATTGCATGATAATGAAATTGCTTTTCTATCTAATAGGTTGTGATTATAGTTAGTTGGGCTTTTCATGAGGTTGTACGCATGCGTGAGGGTTTCATAAGATCAGCTTCGGTTCAATAAAAGTCAGTTGCAAGTGTGCGCTTTTCAGAGTCTCTTCTTTTGTCTTCTTTCAAGTTTGTGCCAACGATGTTTTACACTGCAGATGTCTCACTCGCGGCGCACGTCGTGCGATACATTTAGCTTAATTTATTGGTAAGTAAAGCACTTCTGTTGATAATGTTGCTGTTTTAGACATTGTCTTGCACTGAGCTTTCACTCAGACATATATTGTTCGTTGCCTTTAGTGCCTCTTTAACAGTTCTATTTACTGAGAGATGAACAAAGGTGCAGAGTACAAGTGCAAAACCAGTCTTGTCAGCAGCACCTGTTTCAATTGAGCAGAAGTTCCGTTTCAGGAATATTTCTGTTCACCGAGAGTCTACTGTATTTGAGATATAGATACTACTGCCGTGATTCTCATATCCATTACAGTACTGTCACGAGTGTATGTTAGGATACTTAAACAGATTGGCTAGTGTCCTGTTATAGAACCAAGATAATGTAGAAAAATATGGCTATGCACAAAAATGTGATCTTAAAAATTTTGTAACTATGGCAAACATTGTTCAGTTCGAATGAAATGTATATTAATATCTCAAAAGTTTCGTCTTTCTCTATCAAAGTGTGCTAGTCTCATACCGAAACAACTTATTGGGTTTGCTAAGGCTGGTTAACAGTACAAATCTTCACATGCTGCAGTGTCAGGTGCTTTTGTAATTATTCAAAGTTGTTTTTCTGCTTGCTGACCATGCAGGTTGCCATCTAATCGCAAGAACATCGGTAAGAAGCCTCAGCACGATGGCGCAACTAATACCATGTAGTTTTATCTTGTATGCGAACATGTTATCATTAACGCAAAGCCGGATAACCGGACACTTGTACAGCAGCCACAACACTGGCATCTTATGTGACACACTTTGTATGCATGAAGGACCTAAAACTAACAAATTTCAGTTTTTCATTTGCTGGCATAAAGCATTTGTTACCAATATATTCCCCGATCTTGTTCAGCCCAAAAACATCTTGCGTCCCACTACGCTATTCACAATTACACAATAAACAGGAATCTTAGGACAAAAACGGAAAGTAATTTGGCAGTACACTGCACCTTCAAAGTTTGAACAGACATGCATTATGCACAAATGCATACCACGCGTACCATTAGGCCTTCAAGTATAAGCTCAGCATTCATCACACTGACCAGATTAGTTGTCTTTGCAAATGAGTCAAGGAGTGGTTGGGATGAATCCACCTGGCTTCATTTCGCATCTTTTTGTTTTCCCCCTCTCCATGAAGCAAATGGGGGACTGAAGGCAGAGCTAACCCAGAACACTTACTTAGCGGTAAAAACTGTATATTGCCGCCAGCACGTAGTGGGTTGGCAGCAAGAGCGGCTCTAAATCTGGAGGAAAGAAGAAGATCGCGTTCTTCTCTGCTCGAGAGCCAGCCCCGACTGACGCATCGTCTTAGAGCTAGCCACCCGGTTGTTCAATAAATCCCCCCAGTACTTGTGACTCATCGTGACAAACTGGTGGAAGGTGCTGGGTAGCCTCACGGATGCTGCAGACCCCCCCCAGGAAGCCGTAATACGAGTCCAGTGCCAGTCAACACTCCCGTGCATCGGACCAGCCGCCGAATCAGGGGATTGCCTCCGGAAGCCAACGATACTGCTCCCACCACGTCAACAAACATGACCAGCACTTCGGTACAAACCTTGGCAACCGGCACGGGAAGCACGTCGCCGAACCGCTATACGTTGGAAAGCCCACGGGCACCGCCGACGTTCCATGGTACGGAGTGCGAAGACGTTGAGGACTGGTTGGCGGACTTCGAGCGCGTAGCCAACTTGAATCAGTGGGACGACGCGGCGAAACTGGGTCGTGTCTACTTCTATCTCGAAGACGGGGCTCGCACGTGGTATCAAAATCGGGAGGAGCAGCTGACGACGTGGCCCGAATTCTCTCGTAGACTTCTGCAGACATATGCCAGCACTGACCGCCAAGAAAGAGCTGAACGAGCTATTCTTGCCCGCGTCCAGTCGCCAAACGAAACTGTGACCGCGTACGTCGAAGACATGACGCGCCTCTTCCGACGGGCCAATTCGAGAATGACTGAGGACAAGAAGTTGCGTCACTTGATGCGCGGTGTCAAGGACCAGCTTTTTGCCGGCCTCGTGCGAAGTCCTCCGAAGACGGTCGCGGAGTTCTTGTCCGAGGCCGTGACAATGGAAAAAATGCTGCAGCAGCGATCCAACCAATACGACAGGAGAGTCAGTGGCATGTCTACTGCCGACATTTTCACCGCCACTAGAACCAACAACGACTGTCTACGTGAACTCATCCGTGATGTAGTACGTGAAGAGTTACAAAAGGCTGGTGTAACACCTCATCCTACAGTCAACTCTATTGCGACTGTGATCAAGGATGAGCTGCACCAGGCCCTCTGGGACACCTTGCCTCGTGATACAGCTGTGCCAGCTCCTGCTGAATACCGCCGTGAGACAACCTACGCGGAAGCCTTGAAACGCCCTGCTGCAACGCCGCCATTATTCGTCCATCCTGTTCCTGCTGTTTCACTACAGTCAGCGCAGCACATACCGTACTACGAAGGCACGTACACGCCACCGCCCCTGCCCTTTGTCCCTGGTGCTTCTGTCGCGCATCGTTCAGTGCAACCAGTTCAGTACATCGACGATCGGCGCACGTCTCCTCGTAAGTCTGATGTTTGGCGCACACCTGATCGCCGGCCTCTGTGCTTTCACTGCGGAGAAGCTGATCACTTGTACCGCCAGTGCCCATATCGCCGTCTTGGGCTTCGCGGCTTCTCTGCGTACTCGCCGCCACCCCGTTACGGTCAGAGACCACGCGACATCCAAAACTACCTCTCCCAGCAGCATGCACCACCATCTGCCGGGCGCCAGTCGCGCTCGCCATCACCGAG